AAAAGTTCTACAAACCTTTAACCAATAAATGGATAAAGAATACCAAAAAGACATTTAAAGATTTTTTAAAAAAAAATAATAGAAATAGGCAAGAAATATACTAAAACAGATTTAGTTTCAGCAAATAGTAAAGGAACAATTAATATAACATCATTGTCACAATCAGATTAATAAATATTAAAAATATTCATTATTACTATCAATAATGAATAAAAATATTCATTACTATCAATAATGAATAAAAATATTCATTATTACTATTAATATCAGTACTGGCAATATCAAGTATTGGCAACTGTGAAAGGAACTGGGTATTCCTAGAAACTTTTTCTTCATCTTAAAGCAGTCCCTTTAACATATCTTGCAGTGCTGGTTTGGTGGAGGTGTATTCTTTTAGCCTTCTTTTGTCTGGGAGACTCCTTATTTTGCCTTCCATTTTAATTGAGAGCTTTACTGGGTAGAGCAGTCTTGGTTGCAGGTCTTTGCTTTTCATGACTTGGAATATTTCTTACCATTCCCTCCTGGCTTGTAATGTTTCTGTTGAGAAGTCAGATGCTAGCCGTATCAGGGCTCCCTTATATGTTACTACCTCTTTCTCTCTTGCTTGCTTTAGGATTCTCTTTTTGTCTTTGATATTTGCCATTTTAACGATGATGTGTCTTGGAGTGGGCCTCATTGGGTTCCTCTTGAATAGGACCCTCTGTGCTTCCTGGACTTGTGTGACTTTTTCTCTCCTCCAATTAGGGAAGTTTTCCATCCTTACTTTTTCAAACAGGTTCTCTATCACTTCCTCATCCTCTTCCTCTGGTATCCCTATTATACAGACATTATTATGTTTCAGGTTATCCTGCATTTCCCTCAATGCCTCTTCATTCTTTTGGAGTCTTTTTTCATTTTCTTGCTCTTTCTGGGAGCTTTTTTCTACCTTGTCCTCCAGCTTGCTGATTTGGTCCTCAGCTTCATCTAGCCTGCTTTTGATTCCTCCTACTGTGTTCTTCAATTCAGAAATTGTATTCTTCATTTCCTCTTGTCTCTGATCGATAGTTTCTATGTCCTTTTTCATGCTGATATAGTTCGCAGTAAGTTCCTCATAGTTTCCCTGTAGTTTTTGGTAATTCTCTCTGAGCTCACTGAGCTCATTAAGCTTCCTTAAAACCATTGTTTGGAACTCAATATCTGATAGTTTCCTGACCTCTATTTCATTTAGTTCTCTTTCTGGGGATTCTTCCTTTCCCTTTGAGTAGGGCATATTTCTTTGTCTTCCCATTATTTGTGAGACTCTTCTTTTTTGCTTCTGCTTCTTATTGATCTGTCTTGATTTGCTGACTTTGTGGTGTGAACTTCTATGGTAGGAGACCGCTGTTTTTCCTATATGGATCTGCCTCTGATGATGTCAGATGTTGACCCTGTCTGACCTTTGGCAGTCTGTTCAAGACTTCCAGGAATCTACTGTCTGTGGCTGTCTCCTTCAGCTGTTAATCTAGTCACTCTGCACTCAGCAGGCTGCCTTAGACAGCTCAGGGCAGGGTGGAGTCCCCCTAGGGGTGGGGTTATTAGGTCCTCTCATGCTGCTGCCATATGGTGGAGGAGTCCGCATGAGGATCCTGCTGGCTACTCTCTCTGTTCTCTCCCCAAAGCCTCCATCCCCAGTCTCTCCTCAAGTGTTGCCAGACCTCTCTGCACCCCCTTTAGCCAGGGATCTACTGTCTGTGGCTGCCACTCTGCACTCAGCTGGCAGCTTAGTCTGCACAAGGCAGGATGGAATCCCACCTGAGGGTGGGGCTACTGGGTCCTTTGATGCTGGTGCCGCTCAGGGGGAGTGGTCTCTGCCCGAGCAAGATGGCTGCTGTCGCATGGGGGATGAGTTAGCACCGAGATCCCGCCGGTTTCTCTCTCAGTTCTTTCCCCAAAGCCTCCTTTCCCAGCCTCTCTTCAGGCGTTTCCAGCCTACTCTGCCCTCACATTTGCCAGAGACCAGAGTAAGTGGCTGCAAATAAAAGTTTTGCTTTGGCCCTTTAGAAGGGTCTTTGTGTCTCCAGCTGCCTGTCTCTGGTAGAGAGTAACCTTGCTGCTTTTCGTAGCTGGCTGTTCTCTGTGTACTTTTTGGGCTCTGGTGCTATGGGCTAGAGATCCCCACTTTTGGTTTAGATCCTGCTTTTCTCAGGGGGATCCAACTGGCTATTTCAATATCCTTCTGGTGCTGCCTTCTATGGGCACCCTGCCCACCTTCTCAAGTCTGTACTGCACCCCTTACCAGTTAGATTGTGCTAAAGCTGATTCTTTTGTCTCCAAGGTTACAAGGCTCCTCTCTCACTATTGCTCTGTTGTTTGTTCCAGGTGATTTCTCCACATTTTAGTTGTAATTCCAGCTTGGTCCTGGGAGGAGGTCAGTGTGACTCCCACTCACTCCTCCTCCATCTTGATTCTCTCTTGTTTAATTTTAATGCTCTTAAATTTTCTTTCTGTTATTCAGGTTGTTGATTCAATTTTTAAAAATCATATAATTATAAACCAGATAAAATTATATTATAGCCTGTAAAGAAAATTAAAGTGTTGGCTTTAATGCCATACACTGAGCTTTCAAACTGCAGATTTTGAACTTATTACAGAAAAGAAAAGGAAATACAACTTATTATGGAAAAGAAATGAGAGTACAATGAACAAAATATGTAAATAAGTTCAGAGCATCACCATTAGGCTAAGGCTAACCTTGAAAGTAGCATCAGATTGCTGTATTTCTCACCAGCCATCCATAAAGTAAGAAGTCACTACCTAGTTGAGAATCATGTTACATTTCTGAGACTGTATTACTTCTGAGTTCTAATGTACAAATAATCAATTTTATTTATTTCACTTTTTAGAAATATCAAAGTATTTAAATGAATTTTATATGAATTACTTTTTCATATAATAAAAATAATAATATGTTACACATAAATTTCCTAGGTAAATATTTTGGTTAGATATATTAAATGTCTCCCCATAATAAGCCAGTTAGCACAAATCAAATTCAAAACCTAATCTACCTAAATATGATGACTCTGTAGGAATATAAATCCCTTGTCATAGTGTTTTCTCTAAAAGTGGCTATTTTAATTTTATTCTTATTATTGCTTGAGTTTAAGTAATTATCTTCAATTTTATTGCAAACAGACTTACAAATTGCAAATATTCCTGATACATTTTTAAGTGTTAGTTTTTTGAGAGTATATTGAGTATGTTAAAGGATAGCAAAATGACATTCACTAGAGCCATAAAACAAATTCTTTATATTTCAATGAACATAAAGAAAACAAATGGAGCACCATTTGGGGAGGATCATATACTCTGTATCACTTAGAAAAAGGTGAGTTCTACAGCCCCCTACACTAACTGAATGAATCATAAAAGAAATGTGGAAGGTGATAATAGCAGTTTCTACAGTAGTAAAAACAAGAAGAAAGGTTCTTTGACAGTATGAAAACTTGGAAGCCCTGCCAAACAGAAAAACCTAGTTTGTAGGCACTGAAGGCATCGCCCTGTCTTTAGTGGGTCTTTGGGGTTTCTAACAACTCCTGGTTCATCCTTCTAAGTCAAAGTGACCTATCAAAATCTCTTGGTTTCCAAGAGCAATCAAAATTATTTGAACTTTAAATACGTATTTAAAAAAATACGGTAAGTGTTTGCAGAACAATTATTCCTCAATTCAGCCAAAATGATAGAATCTGCTGTCGTATTATTTTGCATTGGATACATGTTTTTTGAAGTTATCAGTGCATATGAGCTTATTAAAAGTTATGTCTCTTCATTTTAAATGCATTCTCCAAGCCACTAATTTTGATGCCATTTTTTATTTGTTTCTATTTATAAGATGAAAATTCACAGAGAAAATTTTTAGATACTGATGCTTCTTTCCATATTTGCTCAACTTAAGGAGCCCATAAGATAATATTTAATAAGATCCTAAACTCATTATCTATCTATGCTCTTAACCTTATTATTATAGTAGACTCCTTCTTCTCCCTCCCACCACCCCCTAATGCCAAAGTATTACAGCTTTGAAATAAATCTTGTTGGGTTACATGATTTTTGACCAGCTTTTGTATCCTGGAATCCTTTAGTGAGATGGAACTAAGAGGAGAAACTTCAATGCATAACAGTATTATTTTTTTCCCAATAAACATTACTGGAATGATTTCCATTTCAAAAATCAGTGATTTACTTTTCCACTGTTTTCTAAATCGGAATCATTGTTTTGTAGAGATGACTGCTACCTAGGCACAAGGCAACTGTCATGAGGAGGATTAAATAACCCAAGTGTAAGCTCAACCAGCAGGCAATAGTGAGCCCTTCTTTTTCCTCTGTCCCTCCAGGATCTTATTGGTCTTCTTGGATGGCTGGCAGGAACACATCGTGCCATTGAACACATACACACATATGCACACAATGTTAACAATGATGCTTGGAAATACTTATGCAGTTATTCTTGACTTTTAATATTATTAATGTTTTCTTTAGTTTAGCTTAGTTTAGATTGGATACTAATCAGTTTTTACCAAAAATACTTCCTTTAACTTTTATATCTAAAAATATGTTAAAATGCCTACTCCTATTTTTTACACTCAAATTATTAACTTGCTAAGCACATACAAACACACACATATTTCCCCAAGGTAAAATACGTTGTAATTTTGTTTTGTTTTCAATTAAGGAATAACTAAAATGATTCCTAGCATTTCAATGCTTTATCGTAACAAAAGAAAAAGCTCATTACAACACTATGTTCAAAAGCTTTGGTCATTGTTCAGCAGCGAGTTCATCTGATGAAAATTTATAAAATATCAGGGTTGGAGTGTAGTTATCTTACCAAACCGCACTCCAATCATTGAATCTGCATGCTAATATCTGTACCAAGTAGTCATCATTTGTATGGTTATACACCTACAGTGAAAAAGAAAATAAAAGATACTCTGAACACAGAGTATTACTAAGAGGACATTTATTAATAACATCATTACAGTTGTGTCTAAAATCCATTATTATTTCAATGATGAAGAGGTAAATACCAGACAAATCTCAGGCAGAGAGTTATTACAATTAGGTTGACAATAAATTGAAAGAAACATCCATTGACTATAACCCTGTTACAGAGAATCTAATATATTAAAACTCAATGGAGAGGCTGCATGAATTGGCAACATCTTAGTTTATTGAAAAAAAAAGACTGAAAACCTAAAAATGGTGCTTACATATAGCTGCAGATATGAAAAAGAACTCATTTTAAAAGTGAATTCTATACCATTCTTTTAAAAAATCTATCATCTATCAAATGCATATATGTATTGCTTATATCAGTGATATTTGTGCTTAAATATAATTTAAGACAGTTATATATAAATCCATGTTATTTTCATATAAAAATATATATAAAAATAGAGTATTTAAAGTAGGTGGATATTCATACTAAGGAACTGATTGATCAAAATAATTTTATTTTTATAAGGTTATAAAGTTGAGGTATCTGTACATTTGGTAATTTCAGCCATGTGTTGAATTAATCCTCCCAGCTCTTTTTTTTTCCCCAAAAGGAAAATAATCCTTTAAAAACCATTGTAACGGTGAGATGTTATCTCACAATGAAGCATTTGTAAAATAAAGAAATTTACTATTTCAAAATTAGAATATAGAAGAAATAGTTCTCAATACTAGACTTAGATGTTTTATATGTATGTCATAGTTTTAATAAAAGCAATTTATGCCTACCCTAAATTTGGATTAGATACAATTTTTCAGAAAAATAGAAATATAGTTACTAGTAACATAGGAGTATTTGTGGATGTATACAAATGCTTTATGGAAATAAATGCCTATGCACTTCAGAATGCCTAATGCTTTGCAAAACATTTACATAAAACATAATTGTAATCTTACATTATATAGGGCTCTAATGGCAGCCAAATCTTTCTTAAACAATATAATCAATTAAACAAACAAAGTAATGCATGAGGAACTACATTTTGTTTCACACTTTAGAATTACATATTTAATCAACTCAGACTGCAGTTACCCATCCAACTTCAGGGACAGGATAGGAGGGAATGTTAATGAAAATTGCAAACAGTGCAAAGTTAAATATACTGGTGTTTTAACTGTAAATTATTACATTTCTTATATATTTCATAGAACCTATTTGAATTCCCTTGTGGAGCATTCGCATTCTTTTCCTTTCAGTTATAGAATTTAAAAAGCATAGGTAAAAAGATTTTTTTAATAAGCATTACATTCACAAAGCTGAAACCATCATAAACACCAATGTTTTCTCCTGGTAAACGACACAGGCGCAATCCCTTCTTGCAAGTGGAATGTAGTTACTTTTTTTATTCTTTTCAATATTAATGTAATAATAGAGAAGGTAACACAATGCTCAGAGCATTATCCTTTCTACCACATAATTCAAGTCTCTGTATTTCCCTCTCTATTTTTTAAGGTTTATTTTACTCTCATTTGAGAAAGACAGGGAAGGGAGAAAGAGAGACATTGATGGAGAGAGAGACACGATTGGCTGCCTCCTGCATGTACCCCAGCTGAACCCCTAACCTGGGCATGTGCCCTAACCAGAAATTGAACCAGCAGCCTTTCGGTTACAGGATGATGCTCCACGCTCCAAACAACTGAGCCAGGGCTGTATTTCTCTTGATTATCACAATGCAACACTTAGCCCACAAGGGTTCTTGTTCATATTTTATCTCCATTCTAGCTCTGTCATTCACATAGATAACGAACTGATTTTAAGTGCACATCTTGACTTTATAAAGCTGTAAGAAAAACGTGTTACTACTTTTTTCAGCTATGTGTGCATTGGTGTGTGTGCATGGGTGCTTGTGGGGAATCTAAAATACATGCGATGCACAGATTTTGGTTCTTAGGCGATGATCCAAGTGAGTGGTTGTCTTCAAGTCCAAATTCAGTCCTCCTCCAGGGAGTCTACACAATTCCTTTACTCACACACATCCTGCTGAGTAGGATTTCAGAGCAAACCTGATTAATTGGACCTCTGACATGATATGGCGATTGAGCATTTATTACAGAGTCTTGCTGTAGTTTGCTTTGATTGTCAAAATATCTTCCCACAGTATGATTTCTTGATTGTTTTATTTTAATAAAGTGATTTTCTTTGGATAACTTTGATTTAACTACCTGCAAATCAAAAGCAAAAAAAAAAGATAATAATAATGAGGCAGCATCAAGGACATTTGAGCTATGCATAGAGCATTGTAACTAATTCACAAACTTGAGCATCATTTCTATCACACAGATGTTGCTCAAAGGGTATTTATAATGACCAAGAAAGGGAGTATCTTAATTTTTAGAAAGACCTTTAAGATTGAAGTTAGAATTTCCACTATTTTTCTTACCTCAGGGCAGCTGTACCCAATGTAACTAAGGAATAGTCTCAGGTGTTTTCTCTACCACTCTGCTGTGTGTGTATGTGTGTACATTCAGGCCAGATGCTATCACATGTAGAGGATGTGAACATGCCTTTTTTGAATCACTGATTCAAACATGAATCTGTGTACTCTAAATCTGTCATGGCACCCTTTTAGAAAATGACAATTAAAACTATTTTAGAGTAAAATTATTTTTCCATTGCACAGTCATAAGGTGACAATTTTACAGCTAGTGGTTTCATTTCTCTGGGCACCTAGCAAGTGATGCAACTGAAGGAACAGCCTATGCCTTATTAAGCTAGTAACTCTATACTTGTTTGTATATGTACAGATGTAGTTTTATTTTAAATTTTTGAATAAGCATTGTAACAAACATTTATAAAAAGCACAAAAGGTTATAAAATAAAAATTTTCCTTCCCATTTCTTCCCCTACCTCCAGTCACTCAGTTCCCTCCCCAGAGGAAACATACAATTATATTAATAGTTTCTTTGTGATTCTAATTACAGACATTTTATGACTAGTGACACATACATAGAAAGAGGTTCATATTTACTGTTTATTTGTACACTTTATAAAAAGGTACTCGGGGGGGAGGGGGCAGGGGAAAGTGGTTGGGGGAAGGCAGAGACAAATGTATTTGGAAAAATAAATTAATTAACTAAAAAAAAGAAAACAAAGAAAAGGTACTCTGGTGGAATCCAATAGTTTTCAGCTTTGACCATTGGGTTAATATAATCATTGTGTTATTAGCAACAATGATTAGAAAGAATTAGATGGGAACCAAGACAGAGATTGGAGGGAGGGCTGGGAAATAGGGAGGAGACAAAATACTGTCAAAGCTGTTTTACCCAAATAAATAACAAATCATGAATTCTACCATATTAATGCAATTGTAAGACATTAATTTTGGTCAATATGGACATGTAAATAAGTTATTGATGACTAATGAAGACTACGCTATTTAATATGGATTTTTAAATTATTTTTGAGTGTTTTATAATGATACAGATACATATTTTTTGATCTCATGTAAGAGAATCCAATAAAACAGTTCTAAAATATATATTTAAAAAATAATAACTATTTTGAAGATAACTATTTTTAGCTATGTTGCAAGTGAGCATGAACATTTTTAGAAGATCCTATAATGATCTATACAGAAATGTTAATAGTAGTAATTTTGGGGTAGAAAAATTATAGGTGCTTTAAAGGGTTTAAGAGAAAAAGCTCATAGACACAGACAACAATTTGGTGATTGTCAGAGGGAAAGGAGAGGGGAGGTAGAAGAGGGTACAGGGGAGATAAATGGTGATGGAAGGAGACTGGACTTGGAGGGGTGAACACACGACACCATTACAGATGATGTGTTGTGGAATTGTACACCTAAAACCTGTATAATTAACCAATGTCACCCCAATAATTTCAATAAAAATAGAATGTATTCTTTGTAACTTTTGGTCTTGACTTTTTAAACTTAATATAATAAATGTACATTACTTCATAATCATAAAAATGTTGAAGCTATTCTCATTTTGAATAAAAAATGTAACAGTAATGCATTTCAAAACCAATTATACTCCGCTAAGCCCAAAGAAATGAATTGTTTTCCTGTAGCTATGGGAGGTTTGGCTTTTCATGATCAGTCCCTTGGAGGCAGGGATTGTTAAGAAGTCCAGTGAAATCAGCGGTTTGTGGTAAGGAATCCCTACGGATCGTAATTTAGAGCTCAGTTTGCAGTTAACCACTGATTAATATTCCAGGTCCCAAGGTTGTAAGTTTCTGTTATGTGCAGCTCTTCCTACCTCTGTTTGGTTATACTATAACTTTAAATATGATAGGCTGGGAGGTGCACCGATGTTTTCCTAAAGTTTTGTCCATTTGGGGAGAAGTGTGTACTCAGTGATAGCAAGATTAGTAAACATTTTAAAAGTTTATTTAAGGAAACACTTAAACATAAATATTACATTCAACCCTGAAAAAATATTTTTACAGTGTTCTGAAGCCAAAATAAGTTTAATTGTGTTTATAAAATTTTATCTCACATCCTGGCTTTTGCAATTGCCTGATGATCTGCATGCTAATTACATGTGAAATAAAAAAATAAAATACGTCCATCCTGATGCAAAAGGTTATAGTACTTTAAACATTATTTGAATGTTTTGTGTGATTTCAGAGCTGCATTTAATATGGCATTGCACATGTTGGATAATGCTAGTGTAGATGCATGGAACAACCTTGAATGTGACCATAAAAGAGACACACAAAATGCATATTTCCAGTGTATTTGCTGAAGTAGATGCTTTCACTCAGGAGTAGTGTCAGTATTTTGCTATATCACAGGGGAAAGTTTGATCATGTATTTCTCTTTCTAAATCACTAAGGTGATATCTGAGAATGAAAGATGGGATCGGGGGTGGCCCTTAGCTGCTGAGGGCCAGCCTCATGCCACCTGCCTGTCAGTGCTCCCTTCATGCTTTTCCCGATGGACTCCCCCATGCCTATGCCAGGCATTGGCACAACATCACTTAATGTGGTTGATTTCCTTTCAACACCATTTTTCAGGACATAATAAAAGATGATAAGTTACCTAATTCTTTTGATAACCCAGTATCAACGTGGTACTGAATACTGAAAGCTGACAGATCTACAGAAAAGGAATTATTTCCATTTTTATTTGTCAAAATATAGATGTAAAATAATTCTCCCAAATTCTATTGTAAATTGAATCCAGGAGCTTTTTAAAAAATCCAGCAGCATTCTACACTATGCCACTAGTACATACAATTTATTTCAGGAATGCAATTTTCAATATTATAAAATGTTTTGTTATAGGAAGTTACCAAAGAATCATTTGTAGCTATGCTATCATTTACTTGAACACCCAAAAGAATCTACTGAAAAATAATGAGATGCTAGAAAGGTAATACTTAAAAGTGATATCTTTTCTATATTTTATGGATAATTCATAAGAAATATATAACAGAAAATATCCCATTACATTACTGAAAGAACTTCATTAAGTTCAACAGTAATGCAGATGAAGAATAAATCAAAAGTTTAATGAGACATAAAAGAAAACATAAGCAAATAGAAAGACAAACCCTTCCAAATTAATTAAAGTGCTACTACTATGATAATCACAGCAAGATTTGGGAAGAACTTAATAAAGAAATTCTAAAGTACATCTTTAAGAGTAAATGTAAAAAATAACCAAGACCATCTGTGAAAGAAAAAAAGTAGTAATGAGGGAGATTTTTAATACCAGACATTTATTCATCAATATGAATGGAATCTACCATCAGCAAACATTGACTCAATTTGTTAGTTGTATAAGCCAAGTATAAGCAGACCTTAATACTGAAAGAGAAAGAATAGGGATGTTCATGCTGAAGATTAAACACATTTAATGAATTGCTACTGGTCCCTAAAATGTTTATGAAGACATACGATAGTTTTAAATAAAGCCCAATGTAATATAAATCCAGTGACCATAAATGTTGGCAGCATAATAGTTTTAATTACATGGGATTAAAATCAAGAGTGTATGTTTAAAATAGAGCTATGCACCAAACGCTAGCAGAGTCTGCAATGGAGAAGGGGGTGAGATTGGAGGGTATATATAGTATAAAGGCAGGGTTTGGGGTTTTTTTTATTGTATGTACTAATTTTTAAATGTTTAGAGTTAATAATTCATGTAATCCTTTTATAACAGAGGAACAGTAGCAGAGAAGTCAAATAATGCCATGTCTTATAGTTAAAAGTTAATGATATCTTCTCCATGTATTATCCACTTTTTAATCTCCAGAGGTCTCTGCGTTGAAAAACACATGGAGTAATTCAGATATGGTCCCTACCCTCAAGGGGACTATATAAAGACACATGTCTAAGATACTTGAAGTAAGAACAAGAATGAAATGACTTCAAAGACATTGTCTGAGACTAGCTCCCAAGGTCAGGCACCATGTTGTTTCCATGTAATGAATAGTTCCTTAGTACTTTAAAAAGTCTTAGTGCTAATTTATGATAGGCATGATAATCTGCTCACAAGCTAAGATTTCTTTGAACTTATTTGTAAAATTCAGTACCCAGCATTGGTGTCACACCATTATATTTAAGTTTCAAAATATTACCTTATCTTACCTCTCTTTAAGGGTTCTAAAGTCAAAGAAAAGTGGTAAGCTATAATTTTAAGGCTTAGAAATGTTATACAAGTGAAAAATGTTTGATACCTGTACAATAAAAGAGCTTCTTGTTTCTTTCCTTTGATCTCGTGTGTGGAAATGTGCCCATCTGGGTCCTTCCCAAAATGACAGGACCATTTGGGATTATTAAAATTTAAGTAAAGTGTCAATTGGAACGTGGCTTTGAAGGAGAGCTGTTAGCAAGACAAATCTTAGTTTACCACTGGTGCAAAATAATAATAATAATAATAATAAATGAAAATGAGTCATTAGAAAACATCACTGAAAAATTTAGGCCTTGAACCAGACACAAAAGACTCTATATGTTTGTGTACAGTGGTCACCTCATTCAGAGGCAAATCCTAATGGTCTGTCACTTCCAAATGCCTCTCTAAATCTGGGACTTCATATGACTTCACCACTGAGAAAGAGACATGCCTACCTAGAGCAATAGGAACTATTTCATAAGATTAATCATACATGTATATGTGCTTTGGCAAATGTTTATATTATTTCAAATGAGTGTTAAATGACAAGTTTTTTGTCACTTTAGATTAATCAAAAGT